GCTTCTCTAGTTCTAAGCCACCATCTTTTATCGTGCAGCCTCGGTGGAGCAAGACAAAATCAATTCTCGGCCACCATTCCCAGTCCTAGTGCCATTAAGGATGGCAACGGGTCCTCACGGGGGCGGGGACCCCCTCCCCATCCCCATCCCCGTCAATGGCGGGTACGGGGATCTCCGCGGGGATTTTTGGCGGATAGTCAAAAATTGCCTCCGTCCCCATCCCCACGGGGAATAATAGGTCCCCGCGGATATTCGGAGTCCCCGCCAAATAAAACTATCACCTATTTCACTGCTTTATCTTTCAGGTTCCATAAAACCCCTTTTTTGTATTAACTTCCTAGCTATTAGTTATGTCAGTATGTTACCATCTAGCTCAATTATAAAATTTCAGAAAAAGCAATAGTAAATATAATAAATGAACAATGAGAAGGGCAACGCAAAGGACAAACTCATCTCAGTCAAAGATCCGAGTAAGTATCAATTAAGGTAGCACAATCCAAATTGTAGTCATATATATTTTAAATTAAAATTCATCACCATAGAAAATGAAAAGATATTCAAAATGCATTCTTCATGTAGCAAGCGCAAGTTGATACACATACACATACCATCTGCAATAAACAAAATGTGCCTCAAAATCAATTATTTACCAAACTAGCTAACCTCAAATTCCGAAAAAACTAACCTGTTCACTATGACCCTGTGGGAAATAAACAACCCTACTTCCAACAGGAGGTAGAGAAACAAGAGGTCCCGCACATGCATGCCAAAGTTCAAAGTTGAGAACCCTTTTTTCCCCTGCAAAACATATTTTACATTAATGCAAAACTCCAACCAAAAAGCAAAATGAAGATATAAACAACTACAATCATATTGATCTTAACCACTAAAGAGTAATGCAAAATAGGTCCTCTAAAGGTCAATATAGACTCTAGCATTGCATCAAGGCCTTGCAGCTGAACAACGGGAGGATCTTTGTCATTTACTCTAAAACAGAAAATGCTTCATCTTTGAGGAATTTTAACTAGCAATGAATAAAACCATCTATCAAGATGAGAGGAAAGGTATACACTGAGTTATGGCTACTAGAATTTATTGCCCCAGTCAATCGGGAGAACGACCTTAAGGCACAAATCAAGTTTAACATCCCCAAATGTTGCTACACCGCTAAAGGAGTTTGAGACTATAGATGGTTGAATTTTTACATAAACTATGAAGAATAATACAGAAAAGACATTTCTTATGGGACAGTTAACAGCAATGGTCCTTATGGTGTCTTCTACCTCTAGAGGTCCAATACATCAACTCAACGTAAGTAATTGTTTTGGAACCATATAGCAACTTGAAATTGAAAGTATATAAATCAAATTTTGCTCATCTGAAAGAGGACGACCCAGCCTTGGAGGAGCTGGAGGTGGAGGTGAGCGGTGCTGACTTGCAGTGACGGGCTGGTTGAGCCGACCCAGCAGCAGCCTTGTAGCTCAGCTGGAGGTGAGCGGAGAGTTGCAGGGCAGCAAGGGCCAAGGGCTGTAGTGATGGGCCGATGGCACCGTGAGTGAGTCCGTCTGTCCGTGAGATGTCGAGAGTTGAAGGGTATCGCTGTGATTCTATGAAGGTGAGTCGACCGAGAGAGTAGAGTAGGCACGGTGAGTAGCAGAGTGACCAGAGTCGGTGAGAGGTGAGAGGTGAGAGCTGAAGGAGTGAAGGGAAGCACCGATTGGTCCGATTCACAGTGGGCTGTGGAGAATCTAGAGATGAGGGCTGAGTTTGAGCATGAGTGAGAGTGAAGAGTGTGAGTGTGACAGAGGATTAGAGGAGAGGTCCGAGAGGAAAGTCGCAGAAGTGGGAAATCCCTAATTCAGAAATCAGAATTTGCAAGAAGCGGCTGCGGCAAGCAAAAAAGGGGGCTGATTTTCGGCTGAGTAAAAATGTAAAATGTGGCAGCTAGGGTTATATGTAAATTGGGCTGAAAATTGGGCTGAAAATTGTGAATTTGGGCAATTAAGTTTAGGAAATAAGGATATTAGATTCAAAAAAAAAAAAATTGGGTTGGGCTGAGAAGTGAGAATTGGGTTTGGAAAATTTGAATAAAGAATGGATTGTGAAATTTAAGTTATGTTGGTATTGG